GCATAGTCATGATAATGTGCATTAAACAACTTAGACCACTACAATATAAATTGGTTCATAAAACTTTAGTCTACGTTTCCAATGAAAAATAGTGAAAAAATCATTACAAATTTTACCACAACTCAGTATACAAAAGCTCCAGAGACAACCTTCAATACAAGATTATTGCATAAGAATACACACATGAGCTGGTATGTATCACTCCTGGAAAGCAAGGTGGCAACCACCAATAAGAAAAACAATTCATTCCACATATCCTATAGGTGCAAGAACTTTAACATAAAAAAGAAGTTTGTCTAACTCTTAGTGTCCCCGGACAGAGTATCAATGCCGTTGAATAAAGACTTGATACAATTAGAATGATTCCTTTCCTCTTTTTTACCCCTACCCTTCCACAATTTACCGCCTCTTTTTAGTTGAGCTTCTCCTTTCTGCCTCGTTTTCAGCGACCAAAACACAGAACTCAGAACCAAGCATGTCGTGTATATCTAGATTCACAGAAAGGCTTAGATCAATGACTCCCTGAATGATTTCCAATGTTATAACGAATCCTAACGTGGATAATACTCTAACAGCATTAGCAGCCCTGCATATGTACTTTCTAGTCTCCAGTGACGTATAGTTTTTCTCTTGTTCTTCAAGACTTAAAACTTGTGGATCAGTTTGGTTCACTTGATCTTCTATCATGTCATCTCTAGCTTCGACATGTTCCCCAACCCATATGAATCCATTACAGCCAAGTATTAGATCAATACCATACTGTACTAGATGATGGAAATGTTGTTTTTGTCTCTTCACTAAATACGGTGTGCACCGTAATCAGTTGACCAGTAGTAAGCTGCGATACAACTGAAAGCCATTAGTAACAGTGATAAAAGACTGAAGAGAGTAAATGTTAAGCATTGTAGTTTAATATTTGTATGCCACAAGTAAATCATAAAAGAAAATGTTTCACAAGGTTTCCAAGACTAAAAACCTTTCCATATTTTTTACTTCTTGCTTGAAGGTGTAGGCCATCATGCTGAAAACCACGAACTTCGGCCTATGGACATGCACGCAATTTAGGATTTAGAATACTCAATATTTATCTCCATCATAAAAAGTAAATTTTAATAAACATGATTGCACTTACGCAAATGACATCTGCCTCCTCGAAAATACAACGCATATTCAACTCATCTAAAGCTGTCCTTCGCCTCTACAATAGGAAGAACAATTCTGAATAAGGGGTTTCAATTCAAGCTTAATTGGAAAAAAATTTAACAATATGAAATGTATACAATAAAAAAAAGGGGTCTTACCAACTTATGCACTAAGGGGATATGTCAAGGAATACATAAGTCGAACTTTTGTACGAGAAAAGACAACTTTCAAAATTTAAAATTGAATGTCCTCCTTTTAAAAGAATACTTCTATATTTAGTTCTTTAAAAGGGCACAGGTTAGCATTTGCCAAATGAAAAGGCAAGAAACTCAATTGTGTACTTTTAAAGTTGAAGGTGATTGTGCATTCAAAGAACTTAACTGCTTCATAAGTGGTGACAACAATTGTTTTGCAATTGGCATTTGTACCCCAACCTTGATCTATTAATTTCTTTGAAGTTTAAAACTTTAAATATAATTTCTTTCAAAATTAATACCTAAACCAATTTACCAACTTTATGAAGTCAGACATTGATGAATATCAAATATTGATATAAATATACAATTCAAGTCATAAATAATACTTGCCGTCCAACCAACATATTAATGTAGACTAAAACAGAAACAGGAAGAGCAACATTAAAACAATGGCGAACTTTCCCCTGCAAATAAGAGCATCCCAAAATCCCGAAATCTGTCCCAAGGAACTGCTCTCATGTTTAACCATTGCAAAAGATCCTATAATCAATTCACTAGGAATCCATGTCATTAAATGATATATTCATTATGAACTGCTTACACTCGCTACTATTTTATATGATAAACTACTAAATAGATAAGTGCCTCTTGTTGATCCATTCTTCCACTCAATAATATTGGGAATCGGGGTGAAGCAGCTTATGTACTAGGACTCATGATCTATGGAGATAGATCACAAAAAACTGTTTAGCCTAAGTCAGAGTACATAATAGACAAAGTGCTGAGACACTTTAGTATGCATAATTCCAAGAAAGGATTCATACCTAATACCTACGCAACGCAACATGGCTCATGTCTTTCAAAAACACAATCCTCTCCTTAACACATCAATACTAACAATTCTATCACATTTGTCCAAAATAAGTTAAATTGTCATCAGCACGCTAAACTAGTTTTTTTCTTTCATTTCAGAAAATGAGAAAAAGAACTAACTATAAAATTTCTTGAACACAAAAGACACTAAACCCTAAAATTTTGAGAGAGAAAATTGTGATTTCCAATTGCCATACAGGTTACAGAACTAACAAAGATATCTCAATAAAGGGTGTTGCAAAATACCTGGACACCATCAGGCATATTCATAGCAGAAAGCATGAGATAAGCATTTTGACTGTAATTAATATCCAATCTCCAACGCTTCTGAGCAACCTACACAACACACCAGAGTCACTAAAATGACTGAGAGCAAAACATTGACAATGCAAATATATGAATCACTGACACCCCGAACACGATACCGGTATTGACACGTGGACACCAGTAATAATTTGTAAAATGAATAAATTAAATGTAATCAGAATAATCAGAACAATTGATAGTATTAAAGAATACCTCAATAACACGCCCAATAACAATGTCACCAACCTCTGGTTTGTATCTACAATACAGTAGCTAGATTCCATTAACAAACCAAAACATTGAATAAAGTTGAAAAGTTATGAAGGAAGATTACCTTGAGCGCAATGCACGGACATAAACAAGCTTGTTAACACGCTCGACAACACCACAGAGAGTGGCAACAACTTCTCCGTCTAGATCGGCGGTTCCATGTCCCTTGAGTACACCGTCTTCGTGGTTGACGGAGATGGAATCAGCTATGGTTACCGAAGCATCAGAATTCACCTTGGAGGATAGAGATTCCAATTGTTCTAGAGCTTTCTGTAGACGGAGCTTCTGAGTTTGACTCAACTGTAACTGAATCCCTCTCATCTTTGTCTTTCTCTTCAATCAGACAGTGATCAATGGGATAAGAAAACCCTAGATAAACCCTGTCAGACGGCGGCGCGTGTGTTGGGGCTTCGGTTTTTCACTTTCTTTCTCTTCTACGAATGGGTTTTTTGGGTTTTTCTTAAATCCAATATACTTTTTAGTTACACTTCAAATTCATTCAAATATTTTTAATTTCTTTCTAAAATTTACTCATTACCCCATCTTCTTCGTTTGTCTAATATAAAACAAAATTTATTTATTTCTAAATTTTCATCTTCTTCGTTTTTGTTTGTCTACTACTCCATAAAGCTAATAAAATTTATTTTCAAACTATATATTGAGACGATTAAATTTAAGGAATTGGTAAGAAAATATGAAAATAAGAGATGCAAGAATAAATCTTAATGATTTATTATTATTATTATCTCATGATATCTATTAAAAAAAATCAAATTTAAAATTAATTAAAATTCACATATAAAATAATGATGCGTGCATTCTTGTACTAAATAGTATTATTCTAAATTTAATATTGAGATCTTATAAAAAAATTAATATTGAGAAATCATAAATTTAATATTATTATTTTTAATCCATTGTCATACGGGTGTTTTTCCGGTGCAATTTGAATGATTTTGACGTTAAAAGTCATTCAAATCGCAAGGGAGAAAAACGTGCGGTTTGGTTTGATTCAATTGCCTTTTAGAAAAAATTGAACTAAACCAAGTCAAACCAGTGCAATTTGATTCAGTTCAGTTGGTTCGGTTTTTTATAAATATTTTATGAAGTCATACATACACATACATGTGACAACATAAATTTGTATTTAGTCATTCATACGCTACCAAATAATAACAAAATTCATCATATTTAGACAACAACTTCTCATTTAATATGTAAAAATTAGATTAGATAAAAGTGGAAAAATAAACATAAGATAATAGCATAAAACAAGAACAAAAATATTATAATGAACAAAAAAATAGAAGAGATGAGAGATTAGTGAAGATGAAAAAGAAAGAACATAAGAGGGGAGAGGTTAGAGAAGAATATGTGTGATAAAAACAAAATTGAAAGAGGGAACATTTGCATAAAAATGAGAAGGTGAAAAAGAAAGAATATAAGAAAGTAGAAATTAGAAAAGAAGAGACAATATGTATGTGGCGAAGATGGTGCGATAATGCTATGAGATATTTGAGAAGACTGAAATGCTATTGGGGAAAAAGTAAATTATGGTCAATTTGCAGTCAAACTTCATAATTTTTTATCAATATCAACATCATGAACTCATATATGTCATTTGATCTAGTTTGGATCACAATTCTTCAAGAAATTTGATCAGATCATCAAAAGGGCAAAATGGTCAAAATTAAGATTTTGACTGAGGAGGTTCAATTTTTTACTTTTGACCAAGAGAATAACTTATTGGTTTAAGACATGATCTCAAGGATTCAAATGCATCATCTTGACCTAATTGCATAGTTCAAATCACCTCTCAAGATCATTGGATTGTCAGATGAATTTCAGTCAACTGATGAAAAGTCAATTGTACACTGAAAAGTCAAACTTTGAATTTTTGATCAAAATCAAGTTTCAAAGATTACAATTCATCAAGACATGTCAAAATATGAAACTTGTTCATCAAGAAATTGAAAAGTCAAAATTCTAAGACTTAGAAATTTTTCTAAGTGTTGGAAAATTAACTTTTTTTCATAACTTTGTGCCAAATTTCCACCGTGATGCAAGATGATTCAAGGGAAACTTCCAACATAAAAGTTGTAGATCTCAATGAGATCTAAAACATTATAGGGCAGAACTTTTCCTATAAATTCTTGGATTTAAAGTTATGAATTTATGAAGACATGTCCATGAAACTAAAAAGACTTAGTGAAATTTTGCCCTAGTTAGGCAGGATTTGGACCTAACTTCATGGCAACTTTTCACCTAGTTCCAAATTGAATCTTCAAAAATGTCCAACATGAAGGTTGTAGAGGATGTTACAAGCTTTCCAAAATGTCCAAGAACTTGAAGAGATCATTTTTGAGCTAGGATATTCGAAGACTTGAAGTTGGCATGATAAACTTGAATTACAAGTCAATTTTGTGATGAACACTTGACCAAATCCATAAGCCATGTTGTATAATCTTGATTTGCAGGTGTCTAACTTGAAAATCACTCCTTAACTTAATGTATACACAACTGATTTATCAATTGCCCAATTGATTCAAGCATTGTCCAAAGCATTTTTCCATTTTAGGGAGAAAGTCATCATTTCCATTCTAGTAAAGCAAGCCTTTATGCAAAGTCAACTTCTTGAGCTCTCAACTTGTTTCATCTGAGTACAAACAATGTCAAAGATAAAAGCAACGTGTCTAGAGCCTCCAATAAATTGATGTCATGTTGTACTATACCTTGAAATCGTGTTTTCCACTTTTCTTCAAAATCAAGTAACATAGCCATAACTCTATATCTCACAGATCTGTCAACTTCAAACCCTAAGACCTCTTGCTTATAACTATACAAGTTATTTGCAAGAAAACACACGAGTTCAAGCACCCCAAAAACCTCCCAAGCACCTTGCTGCATAGAATTGGCCATAACTTGACAGTTTTGAACTTAAAACCCCCAAATCAAAAACCACTCGTGCATTTTAAAATCTAATCATCCATACACTCTCTATACATCATATCAAAGCTATCCCAATACTTGTTACACTCATGTAACTCCATTTTCATCATTCACCATTGTTGTACCCCAAAATTTGCCCTCTCATTTCTCAAGATATTTTCTACAAAGATCTTCAATGCCTCGAGTTTGTGCGAGTATCGACTAGGTCAAACAATCTCCTCAATGCTAATACCTCAAATTAGGTTTTGAATATGTACAGAGATATTCAAATTTCTAATGCTTCAAATGACTTTCACTGATCCTCATGGATCCTTAGAATTACTTCAGTCAAGTTTCAAGCCTCAGATCACAATTTTCTAAGAAATTCATTCAAATTATCAAAAGGGGGAAAATGAGCAAAGTTGAAGTTTCAGTTGGAAAAAGTCAACCGGACGCTAAAAAAGTCAAACTTTGACTTTTTGACCGAATTTGAGTCCCAAAAATCACATTGCGTCAAGACATCCAAAATGTGAAATTTGATCAACAAAAATCAAGAGAATAAAAAAATCCAACTTTTGCAAGACTTTGGAATTTTTCTAAGTATTTTTTAGACTTGTTAATTTCATTTGCTTCATGACATTTTTTACTACAATTCCAAATAATTTAAAATGAGGCAAATAATTCAAGTTATTACAAAGTGAAATTTTTTGCAAGTTTACAAACCCTAAACTTGGTATTGCTTGGACTTTTCCCTTTGACTCAAAACCTTGTCACAATGTTTTGTCCTTGATACAATATGCATAAAATACTCCACAAGACTAAGTTTGTTTCATGCTACAAATCTTGCTGTCCAAGTTGAACAAAGTATGATATACTACATTGCCACAACACCTCAAAACATGCTCCATTGTTGTCCTACAAAAAAACCTTGTGCTATGTTGTACCACAAATATGCATATGTTGTCCTATACAGTCCAAAACTGCTCTATGCAGTCTGTCCCAACCTGTATCATAACAGCCCCAAAATTGCACCAAAATGGCAAAAGAAAATTGTGTGAATAAAGTATCAAAATAGTAGGCAAAAACAATTCAAAATGACTTATTTTTGTTTCCCCCCTAAACCTCAATCAAGGGTCTACAAAAGGGACTGTTTCATAAGACATAAGGGTTGGAATTTTGGGAGAGAATAGGGAGGCTTTGAATAGAAAAACATTATTCTTTGAACTTTGGATCATTCAAGAAAAAGAAACCAGCTCTAATCTCATTCAAAACAGAACTTCAATCCATTATTCCATCTTACAAACTCTTCTATAAACCAAACACCTTAGCGCATAGATATTGTAAAAACATTAAAACAGTTTCTATCAGTGCCACTGTCCTCACCATCCAAACATAAAAACAATACTATACAACTTAGTTGGGTTTCAACAGTTTGGAACAAGCTGCCTGGAGATTCATTGGAGCCCTCACAGCATCTTGAAAGGCATTTAGATTTCAAACACCAAGTGTAGTTTCAAGGTAAGTCTTCTTGACTTGGTATTTTTCATACACCATTAATGATTTATTCTTGAAGATAAGATGTAGTAATCATTTCCCCTTTTAGCTAATTGTTTGCTTGTTGTTTATGTTTATCAATCATATGCTGTAAACTAACATGTATGGACAATAAAACAATGTTTAAGGCAGAAAAATGCAGTATGTATCGACACATACACACGTGCATCGACTCATCCTAGTAAAAAAACAGGGTATGAGTCGATACACAAACCTCATGCATCGATTCATACTGATTCCAGGTCCCAAAACAAAAGGTTGAAAAGTCTATGAGTCGACACAAAAAGCGTATGTGTCGATACAAAGAAGGTGTATAAGTTGACACATCCCATTATGTGTCGGCTCATACTGAGCTAATCTTTCTTTATATGAGCAAGGAAAAGTTATATGTCGATGCATAATAGCATGTGTCGACAAATAATGGTTCAAAAGGCAGTTTCTCCCATTTTCTACACTGTTTATGTATATATTTTCATTGTTGCCCATTAGTTTGATGGGGTTGTAATAATTAGACATTTACTTCATCCCTGTTTGCAAATTGTACCCCCATCCCCCTAAAGATGTGATAGCTTAGGATTTTATTTTCTGTATTTTATTTTTGCTTTCATATATTGCTAGTAATTAGGATGTATGGCAAGATAAAATCAACAAATAGATAACTTTTACATGCAAGACATAATACATGAAAACAAACACACTTGCACACACCCTTAGGGTAATCTCACTTGTTGCCTATCGGAAATTAGTCATGTCCCTCGAACATGGGCGTTTTTAGCAAAAGACCCTCGATAAAAGATCGTAGTCCCTCGATGACCCTCGACGTTGCCTTCGATAAACGA